GAGAACTTTTTCTTCATGGGAGAAAGACAAAGAGGAATCGCTCAATATCTGGGCACAAAAACCCAAGGAAATCCTAGAAGCATCTAAGAATTGATGATCTGGTCTCTGAATTGCAAGCCAGTAAGGGAACTTGTTTATTTACTATAAGTAATCAGTTCGACCCCTTGGGAGATTCATCAACAGTTCTAGAGGCCGAAGTTGTGAGCAATCAAGGAAAGTTCTGTCTACTACAGGAATCTGCCGTGATAGAACAGCTAACAGAAAGAGTAAAATAAATATACAAAAGTATGAAGACTATTGCTTAACGCATTGTAAGCTGTCCTGAGTCTCCGGAGAAGGGTGGCATATAAATTAAAGCAAAATAATAATAATAATAATAATAATAATAATAATAATAATAATAATAATAATAATAATAATAATAATAATCAAAATCAAAATCAAAATCAAAATTTCACAAACTGACTACCTACAACAACAACAACAACAACAACAACAACGCAATATTTCCTTTTCCAGTTAGAATAGAATAGAATAGAATTCTTTATTGGCCAAGTGTGATTAGACACACAAGGAATTTGTCTTAGGTATATAAGCTCTCAGTGTACATAAGGAGAATAAAATAAAATACATTCATCAAAAATAAAAAGATACAACACTTAATGATAGTCAAGGTTACTAATAAGCTATCAAATTGTACTATGAAACAAATAAAAACCATATAATTGAAAGATACAAGCAACATGGTTATAGTAATATGTGGGAAGAGATAGACACTAGAAAGGAAGAGAATAATAATAATAATACAGTCTTAGTAAATTATTTGACAGTGTTGTGGAAATTAGTTGTTAAGCAGAGTGATGGCATTTGGGAAAAAACTGTCCTTGTGTCTAGTTGTTCTGGTGTGTAGTGCCTTATAGCATCGGTTTGAGGGTAGAAGTTGAAACAATTTATGTCCAGGATGTGAAGGGTCTGTAGTTAGAATAGAATAATAGAATGGAATGGAATAATAATTTTATTGTCACTTTGAATGTACACTAATCAGCATATATTAAAATGAAATTTCATTGCATACAGCTCTCAAAGGGTTACCATCTCTAATACACACTAGATAAATATGACTGAATAAATAAATAAATAAATATGTATGTACCCACATATATTATATGACACACAGAAACAACACAGTCTAGTTCAGATGTATACACATAGATGGCGAGAAAAATGAATGTTGTACATTTATCAAACGGATGGCATAGGGAACAATGCTGTTACAGAATCTGGTAGTCCTGCTATAAATAATTCGAAACCTTCTCCCAGAGGAGAGCAACAAAAACAGACCATAAAGTGGGTGTGTGGGGTCTCTAACGATGCTTTGAGCTCTAAGCACATGGTGCTTATAAATAGTATCCTGAATAATGGGAAGCGAGCTTCCTATAATCTTCTCGGTTGTCCTTACCACTCTCTGTATGGACTTTCTATTTGAGGCACTGCTGCCACCAAACCAAACCTTTTAACCTTTTTCAAAGTACTTTTATGTCAAATCCATTCTGAATTGTTGCATGCATTGTTCATTTGAAATGTCCCAAAGGTGGTTTTTCAGTAGGCAACTGGACATTTTTTTCAGGAGGCAACAAGTCCAGTTGCATCCTGAAAAAGCACCTTCGGGACAACCATGACCTGGATGACTGAGAATCTCTACAGACTCTTACTCTATGATTGCAAAAAAACTCACTTTTTCTATTATCCATTTGTTCCCACTGAAACCATAAGGGGATTTTTTTTCTGTTTCATGCAAAATGTCTATAAGGAGAAGGGGGAAGGGAAGCAGGGGGAAAAGGCTTAGCCCATTAAAGGGGCTTGGGAAAGCATGGCTTAATTCAGGCTATCAGATATAGCCCTGGCAGGGAAAGGAAGGACATGGCTCATTAACTTGCTGGAATCCTTTGAGGATGAGAGAAATAAAGGGATTCCAGGGTGGGCATTAGGCTCCCTTTGACATCCAATTGACACTCCATTCAAGTCACCGCTGCAAGTTCACACAAAGGAAGGCAGCAAAATTGGCTTAGAAACGGGAGGTCGAGGAAAGCAGGGATGTTGCTTTCATATTGATTGTCTTTTTCTTTTAAAAAATAAAAGAAGATAATGTAGGCATCTCTAAAAGTGACATCATCTTCACCAGCCATTTCTCCATTGTGCGTAGTGATGAACCTTTCCACTTTTGAGCATATACCGTATTTTTCGGAGTATAAAATATACCTTCCCCCCCCTAAAAGGGGTTGAAAATTTAGGTGTGTCTTATACACCGAATGTAGCCCCGCCCACCCACTGGCCCCCACCCTTTGGCCTCTGCCTTGCAGCAGTTACCTCCTTGCAAGCAAACAGCAAGAAAAAACAGCTTCTTTCAGCTTCAGCACAGCCTAATTAGCACAAGTTGATTGGATCTGCCTCCCAGCTGATTTGCTCTCAGCTGTTTTGCGCAGGGCTCTGCTGCTTTCTGCACAGAGGTAAATTGCTGCAGCAGATTTTTTTTCCCTTTGTGGTAATCAAGCTATGCTGAAAACGAAACTGAAAGTAAAGCAGGGTGTTTGCTGTTTGCTGCAACGAGGCAAAATTACTCAGAGGCAGAGGCAGAGGGAGATTTCTTTTTCTTCTTTTCCTCACCAAAAAAGGTAGGTGTATCTTATACTCTGGTGCGTCTTATACTCCGAAAAATATGGTAATAATCTCACTGCAGTTGTTATATATAAAAACAAATTCCACAACTTTCTTCTGGTTGTGTGTTTATTAGCCTTCTATCTTCTGCCCATATTTCTCAAGTCAATGGAACTATTTTGAAACTTGGCTCTTGAATCAACTAAAGAACAATCAACCAACGGAACAGCTTGCCTTCAGAACTTGTTCATCACTGGAAGCTTTCAAGAAGAGACTGGACTGCCATTTGTCAGAAATGGTGTAGGGTCTCCTGATTGGGCAGGGGTGGGATTAGAAGACTACAAGGTCCCTTGCAACTCTGTTAATCTGTCTGTCTGAATCTATCCTCTTAATTTCCAATTCTACAATAATAGATGGTGATTGGGGAGTAATGATAAGGGTTGCGGACAACATCACAAACTCCCATGATCCCTTCTAAATGGCCCCTAGTTTAGGGCCCCTCTAAATGGCCTCTAACCTTCACACACAAAGGTTCAAAATCTAATTTCTCAATAATAAATACCAATAGAAATAGCACTTAGATTTATATACCGCCTCATAGTCTTTACAGTGATGTAAAAATAGTGATGCCCCTGCTAAAGACTTAATCCTTTCAGAATTCTTAAAATTAAATCTTATAGTATGGGGGAATTATCTTGAGAGACAGAAGGAAGAGCATTAACCATCAACCATTATGTAAAAGATATCTCAGCCCACCAAAGGAAAAGGGGAGTTGGAAACAGCTCAGAAGGACCCTCACTAATTTTCTAAGTAAAAGTAAAGTAGGGGAGACAATCTTGCAATATTTTGGTACTGTAATCTTTGTCAGCACTTCAAGCTGCATTTACTCTAGTGCCGACATAAGAAGGAGAAGTGGAGGCATCTGGAAAGGGACGTTTGACTTTTCACCTACTTATTTTCCCTGAAGATAATATCCCCTAGGAGATGGGATGGGAGGGGGAAAATTCCTTTGAGCTGGAGCGGTAGATTAGGGGTAGAATGACTTGGAAGATGGCCAATGAGTGCAGGGGAGTGGGGAATGGAAAGGGAGGGTTTTGGGTCTGGAAGTCAGTGTTGGCTTCGATGGAGTTGAGTCTAGAATGTTGTGCTTAATAAATAGGAGTTTTCCTTCAAAGACTTTGTTTGAAATGCAATTTATTTGAGACGACCTCGAAACCTGACAATCTTACAATAAAGCTTGTATTGGTATTCATGGTTTAGGCATCTTGTTTGGAATATCTTGTTGGTATTAATCTAGCTGATCAGAGACAAGACATCAATCTTTGTGAACAATGGCAAACTCATCAAGCAGTGAGAACCCTTTAAATATCTGATCAGGTTCTATTCTTGCTATTAATTGTTAGCTGCTAACTTTTAAAAGATTTTCACTCAGTTTTTAAAATTCCTTTCCCATAATTATTGCTGCTTCCCTTGATTGTAGAATAGAATAGAATAACAGAGTCGGAAGGGACCTTGGAGGTCTTCTAGTCCAACCCCCTGCCCAGGCAGGAAACCCTACATCACTTCAGACAAATGGTTATCCAACATCTTCTTAAAAATTTCCAGTGTTGGAGCATTCACAACTTCTGGACGCAAGTTGTTCCACTTATTAATCGTTCTCACTGTCGGGAAATTTCTCCTTAGTTCTAAATTGCTTCTCTCCTTGATTAGTTTCCATCCATTGCTTCTTGTCCTGCCCTCAGGTGCTTTGGAGAATAGTTTGACTCCCTCTTCTTTATGGGAACCCCTGAGATATTGGTAACACTGCTATCATGTCTCCCCTAGTCCTTCTCTTCATTAAACTAGACATACCCAGTTCCTGCAACCGTTCTTCATATGTTTTGGCCTCCAGTCCCCTAATCATCTTTGTTGCTCTTCTCTGCACTCTTTCTACAGTCTCCACATCTTTTTTACATCATGGCGACCAAAACTGAATGCAATATTCCAATATCGTGGCCTTACCAAGGCATTATATATCAATTCACATGATCTCGATTCTATCCCTCTGTTTATGCAGCCCAGAACTGTGTTGGCTTTTTTGGCAGCTGCTGCACATTGCTGCACATTGCTCATATCTAAGTGGTTGTCCACTAGGACTCCAAGGTCCCTCACACAGTTACTACTATTGTGTTTGGTCTTGGACTATAAATAAACTTTGATTGCTTGCTTGAAAGCTAAGAATGTTTGAACCTGTTTTGTGTGGACAGCAGACCTACAGAATGCAATTCCTTTAAGACATTTTGACAATAAGAACAGACAAGTTTGCTTTGTTTTAATAATTCTATTTCCCCTTAAATTGCAGTGTCCTGGATTGTCCTCCTTCACCACAGATTTGAAGTTTTCTACACACAGTTTGCACAATGGAATTTGTATTTAATTCAATGGAAGGTAGGAACAGCATATATTATATCAACTTCTTTTCCTGGATGAAGAAAATCCCAAGTGTTCATAATATTCATAAGTTTATTTCAAAATTTAAACTGTAGCACCAGTAGATGAATCCCTGTTGTCCTTCACCTCCTGGGGTTGGGTGTGTGTTGGCATTTTGAAAACATTCAATAGATGCATTTACAAAATGGTTCCTGAGGGGATTTTTTCATAAACAAAGTCTTATGGAGAATGTACGAATACTAACACACTGATAACTGTGATTTCCTGTATGCAACATCATCCCAGAATTGTCCTTTGGAAGGACACAAGGGTTGAAGTCAACATCTATGTTCTTTAAGAAAATTTTAAGAAAAATATGTGATTGGAGACTGAGATGCATTTCTGAAAACGAAGGAAGGGTGGGAAGAAAAGTTTCCTGTTCAAAATTAGCAGTTTTATATATATTTTGAATTATTTATTAGGTTAAATTGTTCTGCGGCAGGTAGCTTAGAGAGCCCCATAGAGACTGATAGAACAGAACAGAACAGAACAGAACAGAACAGAACAACAGAGTTGGAAGGGACCTTGGAGGTCTTCTAGTCCAGCCCCCTGTTTGGGCAGGAAATCCCTCAGACAAATGGTTATCCAAGCTCTTCTTAAAAACTTCCAGTGTTGGAGCATTCACAACTTCTGGAGGCAAGTTGTTCCACTGGTTAATTGTTCTAACTGTCAGGAAATTTCTCCTTAGTTCTAAATTGATTATTGGCCTATGATCATTACAAAGACCCACAAACAAAAACACATAGACTTAAATATGGAAAAGTGTCTAAAACACATTAGTATTTTTGCTGCCTAATATTATTGATCATAATCATGACTTACTATAATTGCTTCCTCTCTAAAGAATATCTCCATGACTATCACACTTCCGACAGTTTTCGTTTTGCATATGAGTATGACACCATGTAAGTATAATACTGTATAGTACAAACTATTTTCTTTGCCTTCCAATTGTTTTGTAACATTTGTGAATGTCCAAAGACATCCCAAGAGAATCAATGAGGATTTTTTGATTCAGTGCAGGAGTCAGACAAGGGACAAAGCTCCCTCAGAGAAGTTCATCCCCAATTGAGACTTATTAGGAAGCTTCCATTGACAACATGTATAAAGTTGGCAGAGTCTGAAAAGCCAAACTTTCTCACCTCCAGCAGAAACGATGGAGTGGAACTCAGATAAATAAATAAGAACTCCAAAGCTGCAAATGTTATTGACCTAGACTTAGTTACGTATATTATGAAGCATCAAACAGACACAAAAGTTTTAGTATTGTATAGATAGAGTTGGAAAAAGAAAGAACGGAACAGAAACTGAGCAGAAAGTGGAAGACGTGAAATTCATTTCAGTCCATTATAATCCCAGGAAAAAAAAAAGAAAGATGGATTACAAAGTAACAACAAAACCCTGAAGTCTAATACTTTCTCTGCTGTCCTACTCAAGGATGTATAGTAGGTGTGTCAAACTCAAAGCTCGCGGGCTGGATCTGGCCCGTGCAGCTGCCCTAGAAATAGTGAAAGACCGACCCATGGTGCCTTTGCCAGTGAAAACGCGGCCCTCCTGAGCTTCATTTTTGCTGGCTGAGGGTTGCAGGAGGCCACCCCAGCCGAAAACGGAGCTTAGGAGCCCATTTTCTCCGGCAGAGTGCTCGGGCCACAGGCGCCCCCAACATGAGTGATGCCAAGCTGGCCACGCCCACCCTGGCTCCTGAGGTCAAACACAACCCTGATGTGGCCCTCAATGAAATCGAGTTTGACACACCTGATGTATAGGAAGGCCTCAGGTAGCCCTCAACCTCAAATTTCTGGATCACACTTAGAACCGTACTTGTTTCCAAGAGCCTGGATAGCTCTGCAGACAAGGCACTGTAATTTAACACCAGCTGTCTGCAATTAAAGTAAGTTCGAATCTTGCAGAGGCTCAAGGTTGACTCAGCCTTCCATCCTTTCTAAGGTAGGTAAATTGAGGACCCAGTTTGTGGGGGCAATAAACTGACTTTGTATAAAATATACAAAAATATGAAGGCTATTACTTAACGCACTGTAAGCTGCCCTGAGTCTCCAGAGAAGGGCGGCATATAAATCAAATTAAAAAACAAAAAAACAAAAACCCAGAAATCTACTGTTTGCAGATACATTTCCCATAGAAGTGGAGGTTGGCGAAATTGTGAAGTAGAATTGCATCATCACTCCTGTTAGCTCTCCTGTGGTACACTCCATGTAATCAGACGAATATCTGAACTTTGGTGGTCTTCGTATGGCATTGTTCTTGACCACATGACAACTGTCATATACATGGTCTACCTGTTTTTCCCCAGCTACGGACCCCAAAGAACACAGCACACACAAAGTCTGTACAAACCTTAGTTTACTAAAATAAAATCAGTTTTTTTTTTTCAAACAAAGGCTGTTAATTAACTTTCTTAACAGCCTGCAAGAATCCAAAGAATAAATAATCTTAATCTTACTATGGTTGGCAGAAAGCCCAGAAGCAATTTGCAGAGAACTAAGATCAAGGCACGAAGGAGAGTGAATGGTTGTTCCTTGCAAATTGCTTCAGTCGGTGGTCCTCCTTAAATAAGCTAAGGGAGTGGCCAATTAGCCCCAAGCCTTACTCTCGAGGAGACCTCCTCCTGAGGAGCCACTCCTGCCTTTTGGCAGCTCTGTGTGCATGTGCATCGAGAAGAGGTTCCTCCTCTTCGTCCTCTTTACTTAAGGGAGCTACTGGAAGTTTTGATGGCCCTGGCTGAATCCCCATCTCTGGCACCACATCTTCTCCAGCCTCATTGTCCGACTCAAGTGCCAGCTGGACATGCTGCTGGCGCAGCACCACACCAGCCTCCTCGCTGTCCAAATCAGCCACCAGAAGCACAGGCTGCGTATGGGCCACAACAATACCTCAGTGATAAAATCTATTTTTTTTTAGTACCAGTTCTGTGGGCGTGGCTTGGTGGTCTTGGTGGGCGTGGCTTGGTGGGCATGGCAGGGGAAGGATACTGCAAAATTGCTTAATGCATTGTAAGCCACCCTGAGTCTCCGGAGAAGGGCGGCATATAAATCAAATTAAAAAAAAAAATCTCCATTCCCACCCAGCCAGAGGTGGTATTTGCCTGTTCTCCGAACTACTCAAAATTTCTGCTACCAGTTCTCCAGAACCTGTCAGAACCTGCTGGATTTCACCCTTGGTCTACCTATAGGCCCACAAGTTCTTTTTCCTTGATATGGGAAAAATATTATGTTCAACCTGATGTTCTCCAGAACTTTTGATTGTAACATTCTCTAACCTCAGGTTACTAGGCATCTGGCAAAGGGAGGACATATCTGACTTTCCCCCTCATTTTCTCACTCTCACACGCATAACCTTAGAAGTTTCTTGACTTTTGTGTATGTAAGTAGTTTTTCATTGGGGCATTTGTTGTTCAATCACTAAGTTGTATCCGACTCTTCATGACCTCATGGACCATAGCATGCCAGGCCCCCTCTGTCCTCCAATGTTTCCCAAAGTTTGCCCAAATTCATATTCATGGTATGGATGAGCTTAACCATCTCATCCTGTTGTTTCCTTCTCCTTTTGGCTTCATTCTTTCCCAACATCAGAGTCTTTTCCAATGAGTCCTTTATTCTGATTTGGTGGCCAAAGTACTTCAGCTTCAGCCTCTGTATCTGTCCTTCCAAAGAACGGCTGCTTTCCTTTTTTTTTTTTTTAATTTGATTTATATGCCGCCCTTCTCCGGAGATTCAGGGCAGCTTACAATGTGTTAAGCAATAGCCTTCATTCTTTTGTATATTTATACAAAGTCAGCTTATTGCCCCCACAAACTGGGTCCTCATTTCACCTACCTTAGAAAGGATGGAAGGCTGAGTCAACCTTGAGCCTGGCGAGATTCGAACCTGCAGTAATTGCAGGCAGCTATTCTTAATAACAGGGTGCTTTAGACCACTGTACTACCAAGGCTCTTTAGGATTGACTGACTGGATCTCCTTACAGTTCAAGGGACTCTCAAGAGTCTTCTCCAGCACCACAATTTAAAGCACCGATTCTTCATCACTCAGCCTTCCTTATGGTCCAATTCTCACAACCATAAAATGCAATTAGCATTCATTAAAGTTTGATACTGACAAGACGTTTCTCAGTTATACACTGAAGACTAATTGATAGTGTTAGAACATTCCTTTCAATATATATTTGCAATTGTGTGCCTGTATTCATACTTGGTATGAATCCTCTCCAAAGAATGTAAATGCCAATATTACCGTATTTTTTGGAGAATAAGATGTTCCGGATTATTAGACACACCTACCTTATTTGGGGAGGAAAAGAAGAAAAAAATCTGCCTCTGCCTCCTTGCAGCAAACAGCAAACAGCCTGCTTTAGTTTCATTTTCATTTTTAGCCGAGACTGATTAGCACAAGAAAAAAAATCTGCCTCCCAGCAATTTGCCTCCTTGCAGCAAACAGCAGAGGCCCGCGCGGCAATAGGCAATGGCAATCCCTGAAGCCTGAAACAGTTGAAGGTCAGGAGGCTGATCCAACCGACAATCAACTGCTTGTGCTAATCAGGCACTGCTGCTGCTGAAACGGGCTGTTTGCTGCTTGCTGCTTGCTGCAAGGAAGTAAATTGCTGGGAGGCAGAGGCCAAAGGGTGGGGGCCAGCAGGTGGGCAGGGCTACATTCAGTGTATAAGACACACCCAAATTTTCACCCTCTGTTAGGTGGGGGGGAAGTGCATCTTCTACTGTAAAATACCGTAGATAGCGTGTCCTCCCCCTGCATTAGTTTTCCTTTCCTGTTTTTTTGGGTTGTCCTTTGCTTGTTCAGATACCCGATAATCCTAGTCTGCCCTCAGCCAGAATGTCTAATTATGAGGATTGGTGGGGATTTTACTGAAATGCATCTTGAAGATTTTGGGGTGAAAAGCTTGGGTACAGCAATTCTTCAGCCTCATAAAAAGCATTGATTTTAGGGCTGTAATTTCCATCAGATGGTGAAAAAAATCCCACATATGTGTTGATATGTGTAAGTGAAAAATAAAAGTATGTGCATGTGTGTATAGGTGGGTGTTTGTATATGAGGACTGATACTTTTTTCTTTTTTTAAAGCATCCATCACAAAAGTATTCCGGAGGGCAACATTTCTTTCCGTATTATCGAAAATATGAATACTTCTAACATACCAGAAACATCTTCTCCAGATGATCAACTGTTTGAAAATTTAACACGAAATCTTATCAATGGCTTCATTGCCCTTATTTGCATTTTAGGCCTTGTAGGTAATGGAAGGACAATTTATCTCCTGGCCTTTTCCATTAAGAGGAATCCTTTCACCACTTTCATCCTGAACCTCTCCATCGCTGATTTTGGGGTCCTCACATCCCTCATTTCTGCAGCTATATTTGTGACAGTGTTAACTCTGGGTAAAACAAATGACATTGTCCAAACCTTTTTCTTCTTGTTTTTTGAGCTCTTTTCCTTCACTTATTCTGCTAGCCAGTTTCTGCTGACGGCCATCAGCCTGGACCGATGCATAGCTGTCCTTTTCCCTCTCTGGCATCGCTGCCATCGTCCCCCAAATCTGTCCACCCTTGTTTGTAGCTTCATCTGGATCCTCTCCTTCCTGCTTTCTGCGCTGCACTATATTCTGTATCAAGCCAAGAGCTTTGGAAGTTCACCTTTGCTTTACCAGCTGATTATGAATGGTTTACTTTGTACGCCTCTCATGGTTTTGTCCACTGTGACCCTCTGGATTCATATCAGGTCTAAATCACAACTCAATCAAAGGAAACTTCTCACCACCATCTTGCTGGCTCTCCTCTTCTTCTTCCTTTTTTCTCTCCCAATGAATGTTTTATATGTCGTTTATTATTTTGGTTTCCATCATCCTGTCCTCTTGACCATTGGGATAGGATGTGCCACTCTCAACAGCAGCATCAACCCACTCCTTTATTTCTTAGTGGGGAGGAAGAAGAGAGGAAAGGATCAGCACAGAGCATCTTACAAGATTGCTCTGCAAAGAGTCTTCAAGGATGAGCAGGGCAGCTCAGAAGGGCAGCAAACTACAAAGGGAGAATTTTTGTGAAGCGTTACTATCGCTGTACATTCATGTTTGAAAACCATAAATAATATGTGCGTTCAATAAGAAACACATTTATTGAACAAAGTAGCTAACGCCAAAGAATATAAAAAGGAAATATTTTTCTTTTCTCTCTCTCTTTTTTTTTTTTAGGTAGGTGACATGATTAGAAGTTAGAAAGGAAAGAAAGGAAAAGTCTTTTAATAAAGGGTGATGTGATTAAAAGCTAGAATAGGTGATAGAAATAAAAGAAGGGGGAATATCAACGTATACATTTGTATATAATGAAAGCAATAACAAGAGAAAACATGTAATAAATGAACAATGATAGATTGCAATCTAAGACAAATGTGTATTATTTTCTAGAAATATATAAGTTGATTGAATGTAATAATTATTATTAACTTTGATAATTTTATTTGTATTACAATGTATGACACCATACATTTCTCATGTATGACACATGAGAAAAAGGAATCAAGTCCTTAAGGAAAGTCCAGTGGCCTCTTGAAAAAATACCTCTGCAACAACCATGACCTAGATGACTGAGAATCTCTATAGACATTAAGGAAACAAAAGCGCTCCATGGCTTAGGACCTGGTTATCTACCGGACCGCCTGCTACCACCAATAGCCTCCCACTGGCCAGTACGCTCCCATAGACAGGGGATCCTCTGGGTGCCGTCGGCCAAACAATGTTGACTGGCAGCCCCTAGGGGGAGAGCCTTCTCTGTGGGGGCACCTACGATCTGGAACGAGCTCCCCCCAGAGATACGGAGGATCCCAGATCTACGCACCTTCCGTCGCGCACTTAAGACTTTCCTATTCCATCAAGCTGGCCTGGCCTAAATCTTCTCCCCTTTTTAAATGAAAATTTTTAAATGTAAATTTTAAATTTGTTTTAAATTATGGGGTATCTTAATTTAGCCAAATTATTTAATTCGTTTTTAATTCATTTTAAATTTTTGTATTTATGTTGTTTTATCTTGTGGCTGTTCACTGCCCTGAGTCCTGCGGGAGAAGGGTGGTATAGAAATTTAATAAAATAAAATAAATAAAATAAAATAAATAAATCATTCATTGGCATCCTTCAGTCTCAAGAGACTGTGGTATCGTGCTCTGGAAAGAGGTCCTAAACCAGCATCTAGTGTGACTAAAAAGGCCAATTCGAGAGTGGCCATCCCTTCCACACTGAGGGCAGATACATTCTGTCCCTGCCCAGCTCCCAGATTTCGCTGTTTCTGGGACTGCCTCTTTGCCTCAGCCTGCCAAACAAGTGTCTCTTCGAATTGGAGGCCATGCTGCATCTTTAGCCTCCAAGCTGAACGATTGGAGGTCAAGGTTTCCCAGGAGCCTGAGTGGTGTAGGAGGCTAATGCCTCCTACTAAGGCAGCATTTAACATCCAGCTGCCTGCAATTACTGCGGGTTCAATTCTCACCAGGCTCAAGGTTGACTCAGCCTTCCATCCTTTCTAAGGTAGGTTAAATGAGGACCCAGATTATGGGGGCAATAAACTGACTTTGTATAAAATATACAAAAGTATGAAGGCTATTGCTTAACGCATTGTAAGCCGCCCTGAGTCTCTGGAGAAGGGCGGCATATAAATATAAATAAATAAATAAATAAAAAGTTGTTAATGTCCATTCCCAGGGCCTTTAGGTCCCTCTTGCAGATATCCTTATATCGTAGCTGTGGTCTCCCATTGAGGTGCTTTCTCTGCACTAATTCTCCGTACAGGAGATCTTTCGGAATCCGACCATCAGCCATTCTCACGACATGCCCCAGCCAGCGTAGACGTCGCTGTTTCAATAGTGTGTACATGCTAGAAATTCCAGCACGTTCCAAGACTGCGCTATTTGGAACTTTGTCCTGCCAGGTGATGCCAAGAATTCGTCGGCGACAGGACGTATGAAAGGTGTTCAACTTTCTCTCCTGCCGTGCGTAGAGGGTCCAAGACTCACTGCAGTACAAGAGTGTGCTCAGGACGCAGGCTCTATAGACCTGGATCTTTGTATGTTCCGTCAGTTTCTTATTGAGCCATACTCTCATACCAGTTTTAGCAAGGCCTGCCAAGACTTTGGACTAACAATCAGCCTGAAAAAAACACAAGTCATGGATCAGGACGTGGATTCACCTACCTATCTCTGCACAAGAACTGGAGGTCGTCCATGACTTTGTGTACCTCGGCTCAACTATCTCTGATACTCTCTCTTTAGATACTGAGCTGAATAAACGTATTGGTAAAGTGGCCACCACATTTTCCAGACTTACAAAGGAAACAAATGGGGGGGGGGAATCTCACCTGACGCAGACAAAAGGAGTTAGGTCTGAGGCCAGGAGGAATTTGTCTATAAATCTCATCAATCCCAGAGTTGAAAGTCAATAATTAAGAGTAACTGCCAGTCTTGTGAATCAGCAAAGCAAGGGCTTTGTGGGATAAAAGGGGTCCTGAAGCCCAACCATTCTTTGAGTCATCTTTAGATCCAGACTTGATGGTTTCCATCCTTCTGGATGACAGAAGGGAGGTTCCTTGATGATTGATAAAAAAAATCAAAGCAAGTTAAATACGATTGCAGCTGTTCTCAATTTTGGCCTGCCCACCACTTGCAAATGAGTCTCTTTGGCTGAGCTGGTATACAATTATGACATTGCACTGCAGGCAGTTACAAGAGATGTGGGGTGGGGGAGAGGGGAGGACAAGGGAATTGCTGATAAGAAGTGTTCCAAAATAGTTCAAATATCCGGGGCAGGCACAGTGCTGACACCAATGTGAAAATTCTGTTGATTTATTCCAACATGGAACTTCACTCTCTTTCCAATAGGTGGCTCCCACTGAGTGATGGAAGATACAGGTAGTCACCAACAGGGGGTGTAGTGAACAGAAGAACATTACATAAACTGGGAACTGGATTTTTGCTTTGGGGGATTTTCCTCTTGAGGCTGAGATTTATCTTGCAACTTGGAGATATTAAGATCCATTGGGCTTGGAGACAAAGTTGAGCATCTTCAATGAAGGGGCAGCATGTTGAGCTTTTGCATTTTCAGCATTACTCTGTCTGCATAGTTGTTTGTATTATGGGGCAAACAAAGAGACCAGCCAAATATTTTCCAGCATCATAAGCTAGATGCTATATGTTAGTGAACAAGAGAGCAGACACTTTTATCATTTTAGCTTAAAGCTAATTCCTAAAACTTTCTTACATGCACTGGGGGAAAAAAAGTGCAACTCAACTTTATTGTAATACTTGCTTTATTGTTCTGGTCTGATATCAAACCCACAATGTTTGGGTTTGTGGTGTGCCCATATATTAATTGGTTACAGTGGTTTTTATACAGTACAGACAAAAGATTATTAACATTATGTCATTTAAATAACTTAGACCTTTAAAGACAAAGAAAAAAGTTTACTTGAGTACTGATTATGAACGACATGCTGATTTTGCTGATAAGCATAAGGTTCTTTAAATTTTACATCTACAGCTAAAAGTGGCATTAAGAGAGAACAGCGAAATAATCAAAAAGTTATTAAATAATAACAATTTTACCTTAAGCTTGGTACTTTATTTATTTTAACTATATTGTTTATGCATGTAGAAAAGGAAAAAGGAAACAAAAGCAAGTGAACAACAACAAAATAGAAAAGGCACTGCTTTCTCACTTTGTTCTTTTTTGTGTCTACTGACCTGCAGTATCTATAAGCATTTAGGCCCTCTTTGAAACCATATTGTAAACATTTGTTTTTGGCATGCTCTGTAGTGAATCTTTCGAAAACACCCTAATCCAGGAACTACAAACTCAGGAAAAAAAATCAAATAGTAAATAGCAGTCTAATCAAGGGATGACCAAGGGAAAAACAACATTTCCACCAACAATGATAGGACAAGCTTTTTTATATAAACAAAGATCAAATCCTACTCCCTTCTAGCCAGGGATGGGATTCAGCCAGTTCAGACCAGTTCGAGTGAACCGGATGGTAATTTTACACCTGGTTCACCGAACCGGTAGTTGCAAGGACTGGTTGGCCCCACCCACCCTGCCCTGCCCCTCCCCTCCCAGGAGTCTCCACATGGCCCATTTTGGATGCCAGGTAAGTGCATGGTCTGCCCA